CCCTCCCGCGGCACCAAACACTGGCATCTTCACGAGTCCACATCGTTTGTTCGATTTTAACATATATATTTCGCTTCGTTTCCATTTCTTCTTTTTGTTGTTGTTGTTGTTGTCAACTCCGTTTAATTCATTTTTTTTATCATTGTCCTGTGTCTCTTCCTCTTGTTTGTTATATTTGTAATTAACCTTTTATCTCACATTCGTTTAATTTGTTTCTTTCATCCCTTCATTCGTCTCTCCTTTATTTAATTACTATCTTTGAATTGCTGAGTTCAATAGGAAAGGAACGTAGAACATTTTACTCTCGAGTAGCAGAGCTGCCGCCGATTGGACCTGGAATTAAAAGAAAGAAAGACGACGTTTAGGCGCGTGATATGATCTAGATTTTGATAATGCTGTCTTGTCGAAGAGGAACAGGTCATTAGAGGTCGCATGAGGTCTGGGTTAGCTGCGGTAGCTTGTACGGGAGTCGAGGTTCACTTACTTCAGGCAATCTCAGGAGAAGGTCATGAAAGCGACCTGGCTGCTGAGGTGCACTGTGCTCGACGAAACTTCGTAGACAGCTCATATACCGCTCCTGGATCTGTTCTAATTCCAGTGTACCTCCACGTGCTGAAAACACAAGTAAGAGAGGACTAACGTTACTCGAATCCATCTTACTGCTGCTTCTTGCTCTCCCATTTAATTTCACTCATGATTCGTGCACGAGCGCACAGTTACATTTGGTATTTCTATTTGCAGTAATATCTTATAGAAGCGTATACGCGTAATGACATAGGATATGCTCTATACAGTAGAAAACGTGAATTCCGTATCGCGTCTACAATTTCCACAGACTGTGTTCACTATGAATCCATTCAGTAAACCACCACAATTTATCTATCACATGCTTGCACGTCTGATGACTATACTCATTTGTGAGACATTCGTGTGAATAAAATATACCTTGGGAAAGCATGGTGATAACTTTAAGACAGACGTATTCCTCCATGCGTAACTTCACCCTACGGAACATGAGCGTGACGTATGTGATCTTCTCGACCATAAGGCCCACGTCCTGCCGCAATTGGTCCATTGTTATTGGTCGGCCCATCATACTCGTGAGGCAGGTTTGGAGGGTGCACATGTTGTTTGAAACCTATGGGTGAGAGGATCGAGTTAGGAGGGCAAAATCTGTTATTAAGAAAAAAAAAAAAAAAAATGGCCGCACGAGATCCTATCCGAAAGCGTGACCGTGATCATGATTGTTGATCCAGCTGTGACACAGCGAGCTGATCAAGAGAACCAGGCAGGAAATGAAAGAGACTTGCTGGGCGGTGTAAAGGAAAGGGAAAGACAAAGATATATCTAGAGAAAGTATACGCGCGCACGTAATAAAGGAGACGAGTATCTTGCGGAAATACTTTCTAAATACTCCCCGTCTGCAGGACCCGGCCGTGCAGTTGCGACGACGTATAGGACGTAATGTAATTACTTCTTGCATAAAGTCTGCACCAGTGCCGTCGCTAGCGACGTTGGTGAACTTGTGCTGGCCGTGCATCGCCTGGTAAGCTGAGGTGGTCAGCACAAGTAGCTCGTGCCACTTGTGCGTGAGTAGCCTCGTGTGAACTTCCACTGGCAGCTCAAGGTAAAACGGTAACCTTTTGGTCCACTGCACCAACTTGTATACTATGCTGTCTCCTATCTGACACAGCTTCTCACTTAAGTCTGATTTATGGTCCAGCAGCTCGTCCAAGTTCTGGAGTGAAATAAAAAAGAAAAAATTAAATACCAACTCTCGAAATACTTAGGAACGTTAAACAGCTCGTCCCAAAAATAAATCCTTACCCTCAACGTTGCGATATCTTGGAACTCGTCACAGTCTATAAGGGTTTGAATCATAGCGAGCGTAGCGTCCAGAGGAAATGCGCGATCCCTCGAGCTGCTCACCGCGTTGTCTAGCCTCTGTCGTAAATGCACCACCTGAAACGAATCGGAGTTCGATTAACGAGAGAGGAAAGTGACGAGAGAAGAGTAAAGAGGCAGGGATCGGATTGGGATTGCAGAACGATCTGGAAGAGGGAAAGAGAGAGAGAGAGAGAGAGAGAAGAGAAACGGTAGTAAGCAATGTAGGAATCGGCGAACCGTGGGACGATCGACGCCTAAGCCGACAGAGGAGGAGGGTGAGGTCAGTGTCCCTTGCGCAGACTTTCACGAGTTACGAAACAGCCGAGAACTGCCCGTCCTTGGCACCGGCTGCCGCTGATTTTCTATTGTCCCTAGTTTACTTCACCTGGACGTTGTACCGTGATATCGAGTACGTCAGCGGGACGAGATTTTTCATTTGCAAGCTTCTCGAACATTGCGCCTTACTCGTTGACTCCGTCAGTCTCCGAAAGGACCCAGTCGTGCCTCTTCTACCTCCTAGAAATTCAGCCGAAGAGAGATTCGACTCCTTGTTTCTCACCAGAAACACAGACTGCGTCCTCGTGCGTGCATCGAGTCCAATTAAAAATCGGCAGACTTGAAAGAACCGGTACCGATAGCGGGGCTCGTCTTCTCAAATAATAGGAACGGTCATGGGGCAGCCGACTCGTTGCAAAATATACCGAAGGAAATCGCAACGAAGGCTGCATACTTGTACTCCGCTTGGAAAGTGGCCTCCTTAACGGGCCAACGGCAATATTTGTCCCGGCTACGAACTCCTGACTCCCCAACTTCTGATACCGAGTCACCGATTTCACTTTTGGCAATGGCCTCTACTGGCTGCTCGGCCATACCGATCTCGTCATTTCGTCGCATTCTCTTATTATTTATATAGGAGAACTTCTGAGAGCATGTACCCACCCGTAGGTTCCACGTAACGGCGCGATGCAAAAGGCCGAGGGAACGAGCGAGCGAGGCAGCGCGATCGAGAGTCGTATCTAGTGGCTTTCGTAATGTGGGAAACCTTGAGGCTTACGCAAGTCCTCGTAAGAAAGTGAAATTGCACCGGGAGTTCATTCATTTGAGCCCGACAGAAGCGATCCGCGTCCACGTTCCGACGTCCAGGGGACATTGCTATGGGAGCCAAAGCGGACGGTCCGAAGGATGAACACGGGTTACAAATGCTGATAAGCAGAAGCGGTTGATGAAAATCTAGAGGATGAAACGGACAAGCGATGAGGACGTCCAATGGGAAGTACTTACTTCGGAGGGGTTGGTAAGGGCTGTCTTGAGTATCGTGCCGTTCACCAGGTGACCCGAGTGCGCGGGGTGACTCGGGTGACTCGGATGACTTGGATGACTCGGGTGACTCGGGTGGCTGGGAGTAGGTTGAGAGTTGAGCGGGTCGCCGGACGAGATCTTATGATGGTGAAGGAAGCTCCCTGCCAGCTGGGCATGTTGTTGTTGGCTGTGGTGAGCGGCAGCTGCAGCCGCCATGTGTTTGTCCAGCATATTCGACGCCATCGTCCCTTTGACGCCCCCCAATGACCCCGACCCGTTCACACCTCCAACGTTACCCCCGCTACCCAATCCACCCATGCCGCCAGCTACGTTACCACCCTTGTTCGTCTTCTTGTGTTTCTTGTACTTCACCTGCAATCCACAAACGGTATCCAGAATTTAAAATCATTGCGTGACGTCGGACAGACTGTTACTTGATCATCGTCTCCCTTACCTTGTAGAGGTTGTAAACGGCCCCAGAATTTCTACCTCCTGGCATCCTATCTTCCCGCACCGCCTGAAGTACCATACCCTGCTCGATGCACTTCTTAAAACGACAGTACTGACACCTATTCCTCTGAGTCTTCGTTATCTCGCAGCCACCTTCCGCCACGCAGGTATAGACCCGTCTGTTTTGTACTGTCCTCTTGAAGAAGCCCTTGCATCTGTAGACATCACAATGAGATAGGACGCCTCAAAGAGTTTACGTGAAATTTCGTCGCTGTGGGAAGTGGTTATCCTCTTTTTTTCTTCCGTTGGCTAATCACAACTTTTTGTAAGGACGCAGGGAGAGCAGCGACACAGATGAATAAGTGAACGAGTTTGTTCCCAGGATTAATCAGGAGTCCGACTCCTGCGGGACTTTGCTAGGAACTATCTTCTCCTCGGGAAGTATATGAAAGTGCACCCGACTATCGTTCTAACCTTGACAACCGCGAGATTCATCACTTTGCCGACTATATGATTAAAAAGTCAAACTTGTAAAGTTGGCTAAATATATGGCGTTTAGATTGGATCATACAAAGGAGTTCCTAGACGTCTAGGTAGACGGAGTTATCTAAGCGACGTATGAGGTACAAATATATTCGTAGATTAGAGCTCGTTAGTTCTAGGACTTAGACGATGGAGTATCGACGAAGATAGTCCGAGGAGAGACTGATGGAATTAAAAAGTGCGAAGGAAGGTCAGAAGAGTGAATACTGACCCTTCGCAGGTGATAATGCCATAGTGAAGTCCCGTAGCCTTATCCTCGCAAATCATGCAAATCATCGGCTGCTCGTCCTCCTCGTGTTCCTGAGGAGGTAACGGCGGTGCTGGAGGAGCGACGGACATCGACTGCGAGGCAGCTTCGGATTTGACCACTCCTCCATTTCGGACCCAGGGCTGACTCGAACTCGCAGTCAAGTTCAGAGCCTGCATTTGCTGGGCGGCTGGTAGCTGGGTCAAGTCCCCGGCCCATAACCTTTCCATGTTGAGTGGAGGACCGGAAGAATAGGAGGCTCCTGGTGGTTTACCTCGGGACTCCTGTCCGAGATTGAGTAACAGCTGAGCAGCGGATTCCTCGGTAGAGGAGCAGGACGCTGCCGCTGCGGTGGCTGTCCAGGAGGCAACGGGTGGTGGTACTGGGTCCAGAGGAGGAGTGGACCATATCATCGTCCTGACTCCTCCGACCTCACCCATTATCACTGTCGGAGGAGGTCTAGGTGGCGCTGGTGCCGGCCTCTGGGCCGGTGGTTTCATTCCTTCGCCTGAAACACATGAACTCATTAATAATGACAAAACTGCTTGATATCTTATTTTGAAGGATTGACTGATGCAGGGTATGGTCTTACAGGCTCCCGTGTTTCCGCCTCCGGTACCACCCCCGTTCCCGCCGCCACCAAGCGTTCCACCACTGGTCCCCGTATTGGTAGAACCAGCAGAAGTCGTAGTCCCCGTATTAGTTCCTCCTCCCGTCGATGCTCCTGTCGTGGAGCCACTGAGGTTCTGTCCATAATTGACGGCGCTGCTGATAACGCCGTTTAACAGTCTTTGTGTGGCGAAGCCTTGAACGCCAGGATTCTGCGACCAGAACTGATGATGGGCCAGGAGGTGCGGTGGGACCGACGGCGGTCTTGGCCTCGACGTCTGCGTCGACGCCGGTGGCGCTTGATTTCCATGGGAGGTATTAGAACTGGGACTCGGACTGGGATTCTGGCTAGGATGAAAGGACGAAGGACTGCTCCGGTGACTAGGGGGGTTACTCAGCTCCTGGCGACCCCCGCCGCCGTCGAACACGGAGTTGTCGGATTCTTCCTTGGGCTGGGCTGACGAAAGGTTGGTACGGTCTGGACTCTCGCCTCTCGAGACCTCCTGGGGCATCGGCGTCGTCGAGACCGCAGTGATGTGCGTTTGCATTGGCGACATGGGCGACGCCCGGGACGCTGGGGTGGAGAGACGTTCCTCGGCAGTCCGCGGCGTCACCGCCTCCGGGAAGACCGAGTCCGGGGAGGCTCGGTCGCAAACACTTTCCCTGATCTCCTGTCCGCGAAGATCCCGCGGCGTCCCTGGACTCGGACTACTCCGCAGAAATTCCGTCTTCACTTTGACCACAGGGCAGCCCGGCGAGCCTGGCATGTTGTCCGGCGATGAAGTCGAGGTATCAGCCACGCTTTCCCCTGCCAAGCCAAAGCAACGCAGAAACTAGTGTCTTTCAATGATTTTCTAGCCCGAGGGGGAGAGAGAAAAAAGATGAGAGAGAGAGAGAGAGAGAGAGAGAGAGAGAGAGAGAGAGAGAGGAGTTAGGGGAAAAAAAGACAAAAGAAAAACAAAGAAAAAAGATACAGCCACGTTGGTGGGGGGGGGAGAGAGAGAGAGAGAGAGAGAGAGAGAGAGAGAGAGAGAGAGAGAGAGAGAGAGAGAGAGTTTATGCATATACATATGAGAGAGCAAAGGAGAGAACAAGAGGGAAAATGAGGGAGGGTCATTGAACCCTCTCCGAACGAGTCTGATGGCCTGAGTTACACCGAACCTAATTAATCATCGTCATCGTAGTTCTCGTCCTCGTGCTAGGCTTGCCTGGCCAGTTACCGGCATGATTAATAACATTTATCACCATTCGTCGCTAAACGATGCAGTTAATAACCAGTGGCAAGGCAACGTGCCCGCGTGCTTGACCGGTTTAAAAGTTCTGGTTCGCAAAAAGTAACCATAGCCTTCCGAGCATAACCATTTTTACCCCAGACCGATCAAGGCGAACGTATTAATTAGACTATTAATTTATATGGTGCGCGTTACTTGATAACTCGAGCGAAGGATACAAAAGAGAACAGATTATGCACCTACGGTCCCTGACTGTGCCGAGTTCCTTTTTTTTTTTAATTATAATCAAAGTACCATTCAGATCCTTAGTGTGACTTTAGAAATGATTGAAGCATCCGAAGTTACTAGAATCTCCAGAGCTGGACCTACCGGTGCTAACAGAACTACGGAAATCACTGCATAGTGATCCGATGAGTGCACGTCATACGAACGTTCGAAGAACTCATCGGGCGAAAAGGATGTAGGATTACGAGCATTTGTGTAGGTCAAGGAAGGAATGCAGTTGACAAGGCCAAGCTGTGATTGTACCTGGCTACTAGTTCTCGATTAACTATTAATAGTCACACAGATGACAATACCAACGACTGAGCTCGATACTATTTGATCTCATTGAGTGACGATCGATTCGACTATTATACTCGCGTTGTACCTACATACGTACGTTAACGCGCTGGTGCAGCCATCTGAATTAATCGATTTACCATTATTGACAGTCGATAAGGCGTCTACGAATGTCCAGGGATATCGACAGCCAAGTATCGGGAACGGATTGTAGACACTTGGGTCGGGATAAGCGAATGTCGGTAACCCGTAGTAATTCCCATAACCGAAATATCTTGGACAGGAGCTGCTAGACGGGATGGTGCTGAGAGGAAAGTCTCTTCCGAGGAACGGATCGAGCGCGTGATAATTCATCGTTAGGGAATTGGAAGAGTCGACGCTGAGCAACGCTTAGGATTTTGGAAGACCAGGAGTCGGGCTGAGGATGGACCAGACCGGGTCGGAATGGCGCGTGCTGCCATTGACCGCGAGGAGTCACTGAATTAAGGAAGCGAAACTCATGATCCTGGATTCGCGTAGCTCGCTGCACTCCATCCGGATCATTGAGGCGCATTTGGGTCGTATCGACGTCACAACTGCACCCAACGTGGGCGGAGGATCGATGGTTCGAAACAGAGAGAGGAAAGAGGACGAACGGAGACAAATGGAGGAAGAGCAAGGAACGGGAAGAAAATCACAGCATCCTATCCCGATACAGTTGCGACTTCATCTCAATCGACGGGTCCCAAAGGTTTACAGATTCCCCGAAGAGGACGTTGGATTTATTTGTTTTGCACGCGGGAACGAGGTAAGCGCGTCCTGTCAGCAGTAGAGCTGCAGCCAAACTAGCCGGTGCCTGTCCCGGAAACCGCGTGGGCAGATTGACCCTGCGCCATCCTCGGCTCCCGTCACCCAACTCTGCCCACCAGGTCCCACGCGTATTCTTGGCGAACCATAATAGTGCCTAATACGAACGACCTCGGAGCGAGACGGGGTAGGTGCCTACTTTCTTATCATAATTAGACTTCGAGATAAGCCAATAAGGTATTCCTTACCGTCGCTACTACATCGGGAGTCGACCTTTCTCCTTTTCAACTTGAGGTCTTGGAACAAGCTCATCTTGTCTAGCTCACACGGGCTGCTCGTAAGGGTCATAATTCCTGAAATCACAAAAGAGAAAAGGATCTTTAATCGAAGTAATTTTACATAGCTCAATACCCAACGTAAAACAGAGTAAACAATGTAAACTTCAGCACGAGGCAATGGATCAGAAATATTTCATATTGATATCAAGTGATTCCCTTCCACGTCGATTGAAATCGTCAACGCGACTCGTACTACGTTACCGACACGACGTGACAGTGCGTCCACGCACGTTTCGATTGCGCCGAAGGCATGATTCGCCATTAACCCCTTTTCAGCCAATGGATACAATTGGATCGGGGCATCGTAGATGATTCTCCTCACGTGCAAAAGGAGATACAGTCGATGGATCGCAGAGAGAGGGCTTCCAGTCTTCGTTTTAGAATGACGTATTAATTATCATGGAGTAATGAGATTGTCAAGACAATCGACTTGCTCGATATACACAAAGCCAGTGTATATTTGTAAAGGCAGTATATATTATTTTAGTACTTGGACTTTGGAGTTTCGGAGTCGCGATCAGCGCTGACTAGTTCGAAGCCGAGACGCGCCGACCTCTGCTATTCCTCTACTCTTGTATTCTATTCCTCCCTCCGGCAACGTCTTGCCCAGCGATCCGATTCTGTTCTGGGTGTCGAGGTGTCTATTCGCCGTCGCGTGGACGCGGCTTTAGAACTAGTCGCTAGAGTCACGTACTCGTATTGGTGAGTAAAGGAGCGCGTGCGACAGCATCGTGCGACACGATACGGCCCTTGTGTGCGACTACCTCTCGATGTATACATACGTGGTGCAGTGGGGTCCTTGCTCCCTGCCGTATGTGGGTCAGCAGTCTCACACACGCCACCATTCTTGCGTAACCAATGCATGCATGCGCCATCGTCAAGCTGGTATACCTCCGCCAATGTACTAACCTACGTCTAGCTTATAGTTCAGGCACTCGGGAGCCACGCAAGCTCGCGAAACCGCCAGCTTTCCTAGTTTTACCAGCCCCGAGTCCTACATCGCCTGACGATTCCCGCTGGAGTATGAATCGAATGAAAAATTTCGAACTTTTGAGGCGCTCTTAATTTTTTGATATTTTTAAAATTTTTCTACCATCTTGCACCGGGTGCAACGGCAGGAGTGCAGATGGTCGTGATATTTTTAACGCGCCGGTCCATCTGGATTCTTTCCCGCCCGAGTGGAATTTACTCTGGCGATGAAGAAGGTACAAGACCGGAAGTGATCGCGAATAGAAATTCAATGTGAACCTCGCCCATTAACGGCTCTTGGCATAGACGTTATTATTCCTTTATTAGGTTTATCGAGTTGGGTATACATAGATATACGCTATCGTCGACCTGGCCATTATCATATTTATTGTCAGGGGCATTATTTAGCGCACGTAACATCCTGTGTGTCAGGATGGCAGCACGTTTGAATAGCACTCAGTCAGCGCACTCGGCACAAGACGCTGGGTTTTATGTATATATAGCTCGGTGAATTTACCGCTAGCGGACGTGGCCGCAGATAGTGAAAGTGACTCTCCCACGCCATGACATCCTAACGTAAGTCTAGCTCCCTCCGTCGCCAGCGTCACAAGCGAGCAGCCTGACTCTTCTACCAGGTACCGATACTTCGCTGTGAGCCGCGACTAGAATTTTTCGAGTCGCGCTTCAGGCGCAGCACTGGACCACCGTCTTGGCTAGTCCGATCGATTTTAGCGTGTATTCCACCTGGGTTCGTGGTTTAGGTTAGGAGCGTAGAGAAGCTGGTACCAAGAACCCAACGGGGTTCGGTAACAGCGGTCTGTATGTACTTCGGGCGCTACCTCAACTTCCCTAGCGTCGACTGGTTGTGCCGAGTCGGGCAACCGTCGCGGCGAGAACGGTCAGTGAGAGTCGGCACCGGGTACGTTGAACCCTTGCAGTGAAAGTTTCTATTATACCACTGGCCTTACCTTACTTTTCCTTCAGTGCGAAGCTCTGCCGCGTTGTGTCATAAGTCGGTGCCACAGGAGACGTCGCAGGAGACGACGTGACTTTAACCGCTCGCTAAATTGACCCATGACGAAAGTCATTCCCCGAGCTCGAATCAGGCTGGGAGAATCTCGCGATTAGGTGGTCTTCGCGATTAATTTTTCACCCTCCTCCGTCATCCCAGGCACTGCGCTCAGGAGCGAGGGAGAAAGAGAGAGCGCCAGGTTTCTAAGCGTTACGCAAGTCCTACAGTCCTGGCCAATCGCAACGCTACCGATTAACCAGCCTGGGAGATTGGCTAACGGGAGAAAAAGCTTCCGTTTAGAGACGTTTCCCAGCGGAAAGTAGAGACTGGCAGAGTCGCAGTTGCGCGCAGTCGAGCCGCAATTGTCATTTGCAATTAGCGAGGCGTGCAATTGCGAAAGCGGGCCGCACGGTGCTATTGACCCGTAGAGTGAATCGAGGAGACGAAGGCGGCTATGGGCCAACTTTGACAACGGAGAGTAGTACGATCTCCTCGAAAGAGTCGAGGGGAATTACAAGCGGAAGCGGAAAACTGGTGCGGATATCCTCGTGAATGGGGGATCGGCGCTACCCAGGGAGACACCCGTAGGTGCGCTTGAGAATCCCGTGTACGAGTCTTTGCTACGGCAATTGCAGACCTCAAAATTCGCCCACCCAGTTGAGGTGGGTCCTCGTAGAATCTTAAGAGAACTATTTCCGTACCTAAGTGACGACCTTGCAGTACGCTCATCTTTGCACACATAGTATGACACCTTTATCCAGACGTTCTCATCGCGACTTGTTCCTCAGTGCTGGCACAGGATAGCATTGTAAATCAAACGGATCGTCCAACTCGATCTAGAGTTCATATCGCGCCGGAGAGTAGCGCTGCTGCCTTCACTCGCGAATCCCCGATAATTCCTTTTGGTGGGCTTGGTCGATCACAGTATTCCAATCACAGTCGAGAATCCGTCCACGGACATCGCGGTTGACGTTCGATCACATGGTCCGGCACCATAAGACACCTCGGGCGACCTGTCCCTTGCCGTTTAGGAGTAGGTGCCAGTCGGTGGCGACGTCAGTGCGTCACGACGGCAAACAAACGACTAATTGTGTCAAAGTGTCCGAGCGCGAGAAGGGCGCGGAACGAGAGAGTGCAGTTTCGCCTGCTGCCTGACGAGGAGGAGGATTACGAGAGCGAAGTGAACGCGCGGGCGGCTCAAAGTTTTTGGGAGTCGCGGTGCGGGCCACGCGATCATCGAAGTCATGGTGGCAGAGGTGGTGGTAGCAGTGACCTCGATACCAACTGAGGTCCTCCAATCCCAAAGCCCAATGCCAAAAACCCAACACGTACCGGTTGCCAGAACTTTCACTCTCTCGCCGCAACCGATCGGACTCGCCTCGTGTACTCGCCTAACGTAAACCTCCTCGATCTCTTCCTTCCCCCTGCCCTCTGTTCTCCTCCCTTCCTTTGCCGTCCCTTCCCTCAAACACGACGATCTTCGTTCTCTCAGCTCAACCGATTTGGACGTCATCGCCCCTGGACTAGAACGCATCAACCATGCTCCGTTAGGACCCATCAAATCGCTTACGTGCAGAATCCGCCTGACGATTTTTCTTGGACCCCTTCCATTTTTTAGTCGACCTTATCAGCTATATAGACCATGTTCTAAAGTGACCTGGTGCCGCGTCCGAATAGTCTGAAGATCATCCCCCTGGATGTTAACCCAGGACGAAGATCCCGTTAACCCGTTCCCAGCTTCTTCAGCCAAGGGGACCCTAGTCTTCGTTTTAGTTAACTGATTACAAGTTAGCAAGCTAACGGGGGGCCCGTCCGCCCACTCTCTTTCGCTGTTCTCACTCTCTATGGACCTCTCTTGCACGATCATCGCTCCAGGAGTGGGAGTCGCAGCTGGTTCATAATAGCCAAGTGTATCCGACAAGGAGAACAAGAAGAAGTAACGGTAAGACTCGATAAGTGGGTCCGTCTAAGTAAGAGGGGTTCTACCGAACGGTACGCAAGAGCTGGATTTCCGAGTGTTTCACTTTTAACCGAAGAAAGTAACGAAAGTCAGAGATGAAAGTTACGAAAAAGTCAACGAGAGAAAGAGGCTGCGGCGATGCACCGAGCAAAAGAGAGACGGAACAGACACGGTCAGACAGTCGCGTTTCCTTCACGCATATTTTGGTCGAAAGTAAAAGTACTTACGCGAGAGGACCTTGACGTAACGCGCTCTCGTCGTTTTCATTATCGCTATAGTTTTCTGTCCCTTTGCCATCGTCACGTTGGGCACTGCCGCGACACCAGGAGTTTCCTTGGTTCCTCGGCAGTCTCCCACGACACCGGGAATTCAGTCAAATCTTATTGGCTCTTATTGGCGAATCCGTCAAGCTCCCTTTGATGATCCGTCAATATTTTCTTGCCGAACATTCAAACCCGCCGTTACTTCTTCCACGTTTCCTCTAGGAGACTACTGTGACTCTCTTTGCCCGGACTACGCACTGACGCACGCAGCACGCAAGTGTAGGTAGTGTAGCCAGCGTAGTCAGTATTATAGGCAGTGCAGCGGTTGCTCGTACCAACACGTTGCGAGCGGTCGGCCATGGCATACTTACTAATGTCAATCACACCGGCAGGCATGCACTCTTGTACGTGTCGAGTATGGTTTATCCCAGTAAACTGTACGTCAATATAAAGCTGGTAGAAATTTCTGTACTCCGGAGAAATCGGTTTCCGGCTGGACGATAGGGTCTCTAACGGAAATTTCTCTTCGTAAATTCAGGGCCTGATCCTGTTGGCCCACTACGGACCTAACCGGGACCTTGACTGGCCTTTGATTCCCATAATGAAATTTCTACTGGGAGTTGTAATTTTTTATAATTTCACTGGCCCAATCAAATTAGCCTGTACTATGCCTACATATCGCAAACCTTAAGTCTCTGTTTTGCTACCAGATTGGCTTTATCGGCAAAACTTAAAAGTCACCGGGCTATCTTGACGACAGGGTCTTATCTAGAGATGCCTGTGTACGTCTTGGATTCACATAGGGTTCGAC